TAAAATTTATATGATAGGTCGTTTGCATGGTGATAAAGAAAGCGAATTCGATGCAATTATTGGGTGGAGGTCATTGGAGCAAGATATTAAACTTTTCGGATCAGATAATGTCTTGACAGCATTAACTCCCAAATTGAAAGACGTAGATCCTGATGATTCCTTTTCTTCGGTTCCATATGGTATTGTTAATTAAGTGTCTAATTTTCAAATATTTCATACCCAAATTTTAAATATATATATATATAACTCGATCTCGACGTTAAATGAATTTATAGAAAAAGGATTCAATTTTCTTTATCATATTCAAAAGGTCATTGGTGGACCTGAATATTTTGAGCCTTATATGAAAGCTCATGTTCAAGAATTTGCAGGAAAATCAATTACTACTGATGATTGGCGAAAATTTTTATACTCTTTTGTGGAAAAAAATTTTCCTGAAAAAAAGGCCGCTCTGGATAGTATTAAATGGGATGATTGGCTGCATGCACCTGGAATGGTACTTGATCTTTGTAATGTTGAATAAAATTAAATAAATTTTTTAACAAATTTTTGTATATTTATTTTTGTTTAGCCTCCAGTCAAAAATGAATTTGATCAAACGCTTGCAAAAGCATGCATTGAGTTGGCCGAAAGGTTTGTAATTTGATTGAAATTTACATAAAGATTTGTAACAATCACTGTATATTTACATATTTGATTTTATAGATGGAATTGTGCCCGAAATAATAAAGCTTTTGATGAGTTTTCATCTGCTGATATTGAAAATTTTACTCCTGGACAAAAAAGTAAATATATTAATCGATGTTGTTAAAATATGTATTAACAAATGTTTGTTCGACTAATGTTTCTTTGTTAAATCTTATAGTGGTTTTTTTGGAACGTCTCTTTGACTATTCACCTCTACCACATCCAGTTATTGAAGCGTTAAACAAATTTTACTGTTTCATGAATGTGCGCAATTCTGAAATACGATTTAGTATGTTTATTGTTTAAAAAAAACTACATTTATATTTTAAGTTCTGTTCAAAAATTTAACAATTGTTATTTATAATAGGATGGCAACAAGTCTGTTTAAAATCGGATTATGATCCCATTTTCCCTTATGTTGTTAAGTTTGTAACAGAGCAAGGTAGAATGAAATATGTCCGACCTTTGTATAGGTAAGTTTTAAACGTAATAATTAAATATAGTATTTAGCTTCTTTTAATTAATTATATTTATTTTTAGGTTATTGAATCAAACAAAGAATGGTTCCGAGTTGGCAAAGAATACTTTTAAAAATAATAGGTCGTTTTATCATCCTATTGCGGCAGCCATGATTGAAAAGGACATTCTAAAGGAATGTTAAATAATGTACAATAAAGACTCGATTCTTGAACGTATCTTTTTTAAATATAGTCTACTGTATTTACAGAAGATAATTATTGTTTTACTTGGGAATTTATTGTTAAGGATTCAAAAGTGGTTTTGTATAAATATATATAAATTACGATCATTTTTTTAACAAATTATGTTGTCTTATGCGTTATTTTCTAAAAGCTAGATCTGGCATTTTTTTTTTTTTTGCATTGGTTTTTAGTGTTAAAAAATAAAAAAAGGGTATTTACATTACCTCTTTACAGTAACTTTGCAATAATGATTACTTATTAAACAATTTTTTTTATCCAAATTAAACCAAACAAATTAATATTAACTTTGGGCAACTGATTAAGGAAACTTAATAACTTTGCCAGAAATGTCAAAACAATTTTACAGTTCCCAAAACAACCAAGATTATTTGGGACCAACAGCTTCATGTACGCTACCAAGTGCTTAAACACTTTATGGCCATGTTATCAGCATATAGTTCTGATTCCAACAATCAATCCATTTGATGACTTATAATTCGAATTCCAACGATCAAAGTCCATTTCCATCATATAATTCTAATTTCAACAATCAAAATCAAAATCCATTTCCATCATATAATTCTAATTTCAACAATCAAAATCTACTTCAAGCATATACTGTAGCAATTTTGATGACGGCCGTAAGTAATAATTAGGCCGGACCAATTTAATTTTTCTGTTTAACATAATCTCCCCTCTATTTTTTATTGTAGTATTAACTTTGTATATTCTTTATATTTTTTGTAGCCAACAGAATCACTGCATTTTTTATTAACTGCATTTTCTAACGCCCTTCCTCCACTCTCACGAGCTATTTAGTGTTATGCTAAACAGAAATTAATTTGAGCCTTACGGATATTACGAATTACAACCTACAACTAATGCTCAAAATTGTAGATAAGTATGTCGTAATGGTATGATTGTAATGGATAATCTTTGCAAATGTAATAGGTTGTAATTGTTGTAAAAACATAAGCAATTGCGTCTTGCACGTTCTTACAGACGTGTAATAGCTTACCAAATTTTAATGGTAGATAACAAATAACAGTACACGTAAAGAAAATCGATTTTTATATTTTAAAATAATAATACGCATGGTTATTTGGCAACATATCTGTTCATGTACGTACGTACTCGGTTTTTTTGAAATTAGCAACTATTCTTTAATTCCGTAATAATAAATCACAAAATTTCAAAATCGTTGAAATCTCATTAATTTTGTTTAACGTCACGCAACTACTTATTAGCACCATTAGATTAATATATCCGTTATGACTATTACACCCATTACAACAATTACGTATACATATTACGACTATTACACCTATTTGGCAAAAATTACAACTTCGAGATGAAAGGTTACAACATTTTTACTCTAGTAATCTTATTACATTGATTCTTATATTCATAAGATTTATGAATGTTTATACTATTAGCTTTCGCACTTAGTCATTACTGTGGATTTTCAGAATTAAGCAGATAATTGGTCACCATATCGTCCCCGAAATTAAAAAGAAATTTTTTACATAAATCAATTTAGAATAAGATTAGAAATTATTTTTCATTTAAGACACGAAAGTAGTTGTATTAAAATTTTGCAGTATAGCTCTTTAAAGTTCATATTTTCTTATGATTTATTATAAGATTTATAACATAAAAATTGATTTTCTGAAAATCTTTATTTTTTTTGCCAATTTGGGCCCTTTTCTCAGCACCTAGCCCATATGGGCAATCAACAAAAATTCATAAATGAGGTTCATTTATATAGAGGACTTTGAAATTCCTCTACCAGTGCTTTATCACGTTGATTCTATTGTTATTGCATTGATTATAAGTACTGTACATACATCAATCACGATTGATATATCTACTCTGGTTTAATCTTGTGTATTAAATATATGCAATACAATACTAATAATTGTAAGAGCTAGAGATGAACTTCTTTAACATATGGTCTTTATACTGAGGCTGGTTATATCGAAGTTATACTATAATTTATTAAATAAATTCTTAAATATATAACTCTAAACATTATTTATTAAACATGACATGACAGTTTTTTACTTAAAACATAATAAATTCACGGGTTAAATATTATTTACCCATATTCACGAATTTATAATTTAAAATACAGTCAGAACTCGTTATAGTCGCACCCGGAAAATGTGTACCAGGTTGGGTCCGGACGATCGACCTGAAATTGATCGGATCGGAAATTCAATAGTTTATTGAACGCACGTACGTACGTACGTACGTACCTATGAATGACGTAGAAATTACCATTATTATTAATCAATTTAATTATGTATTGTTATTATTGAGACGATAAATAAATTTTTACCTTCTCTTTTTTAAATCCAAATATAAGAATTTACAAGTAACGATGCAAAATTCTTTGCAGGCACGTATATAATATTATGAACAATGTTTTAAAGAATTTAAAGGTATTAATAAATTATACCAGTACGATCATATGAAATATGTGAGGGATGGTTCCGTTCAACTTTTTGGTGAGCTATATTTTTTCCTATTT